GTTGCCACGACGACTGGGTCCTGCATTAGGTCCAGGCTTATCGGGCACCTGAAGTCCGCCGGCAAAGCCAAATCCGATATGGAATCCTTGCGCCGGAAGCCGGGTTCCGGCGTCGACGCTCCGAACAGAACGCATTTCGCGTACCTCACGAGTCCGATCATAGCACTCACATCGGATTTCGATTTCTCGTCGATTTGATTCTGAACTTCGTCCTCGAGATTCTCGATTTCCTCTCTGCAACTCGACGAATCGCGAAGATCGAGCCTCGAGAAGATCTCGGATAATTCGGAATGATCGGGGACGATTTCGTCTCTGATCCGATCGATCGTGTTGGAGACTCGGCGTCGGAGATCTTCGTCTCGCGGATCGACGAAAGCGGTTGATTCCGAACATTGATTTCTCAAGAGGTAGAAAATTTCTTCAACATCTTCAGTCAATCCAGCGTCCTTGACGGGGAAAATATCCAGTAGAGTGGACAAATCGAGAGTGAGTTCGTGGAAATTACTGGCGACGGATTCGTTCTGAGTGAGGAGCCACATCTTGCTTCCATTAGAACAGTCTTCGATCAAGGTCTTGATTCTCTGCAAGACGATGTACATTTCTTCGAGGCAGAGGGAGGCGGAGGCGGAGAAGGAAACAATCCGGTTGCGGCGGAGATCGTAGAGAAAGATCTCGAGCAATCTGGACTTCCGAATCAGCGAATTGGAGTAGCGTTTGAGGAGAAAGTGAAGCGGTTTCATGGCGGAAATTTCCTGGCAGAGGGCGAGGAGCGATTCGAGGAGAATGGAGGCGGAGAATTTGGGGGAGACGAATGCCGCCGCCGAGGGCCGCCGTTTCCTCGGTGGGAAAGAATGGGGAGAAACCGCCATGGATTTGTAGCAGAAAACTCGAGGAGGGGACGAGAAAATTGTTGTGCAAAAGAATCTTTATCCAAACAGTGGCGTGGAGAAGAAACTTGCGAAGAACAGAGAGCGGAGCGGTGAGGTTGTAGAAAAAAAAATGAAGAGGAAAAATAAATGGGGGTTTTAAGAAAATAAAAAGAAGGAATTAAAGAGGCCATGTTTCCCATTATTGTTGGTTTTTGACTTTATTTTTTATTTCTCTTTTGAACTAAGAAAAGGTCCCTTCAAGTTGGCTTAGGCCTACGCGCAGTTGATTATTATAAAAACAATTTAAAAACTATTTCTGTAAATATACTTTACTCTTTAAGTTATTTTGGTTAATAAATTTTATACACCATGTTATGCGAAGATGAAACTAGACCCAATGCATCACAGGTCCCAGACGTGACCATGTCTTGGGGGACAACAAGTTCTCGACGCTAGGTTTTCGTGCTCTGCCAATAACCCATTTGATGAGCCAACTCCCATTTTCTTGTTCCGTTCGACTCGCAATAGTGGTATCTCCAAAATCCAAATTATTTGAGAATAGAAGATATCCTTGTCGACCTTAGGGTTTTGACATCTATAAATAAGGAGAAACCTCACAATTGAGATACACACTTCACATTAAACCCTGATTCTGATTTAAGTATTGGAGTGTGTGTGGCTAGCACCACATTGGTGTTCCAATGTAATCTCTGTCGAATCCCTCTTTTTATTCTCAAAGGTGGGGCAAAATTTATAAATCTCAAAACGTCAAGTTTCTGCATCAACACACCAGTAAACTTTATAATACAAATTTATGAATAAAATTAATGCATGGAGTGTCATAATAAAATTTTGATAGAAAAAATAACATAAAAATGAAAATTAGGAGACCAAATTATTACTTTTTCATGATTACTTTTAAAAGTACAGGATGAAAATAATTTTTTAAAAAATATAAAAACTAAAATAGAAATTGAAAATATAAAGGTTAAAATCGATAATCAACCAAAAAGAAAGAATTAAAATCGATCCGACCAAAATAATATTTAAATTTGAAAATAAATAAATAAATATTAAGAAGTTAAGTTATTTTGAAGGGTGAAAGTTGAAGGGAAAAAAATGAAGAGAGATTAAGTGGAGATTGGATTGGATTAGAGAATGACAAATCGAAGACGGCATTTCCATAGCAGCCGCCGATTGAGAATGGTAACGTTTTATTTAATTATTTTACTTTTTTTTTAATAGATTACTACAATTGACAACTTATTTGAAAATTATTTTTTTTTAATGGAAGATTTTGAAAACTTCTTCGTATTTTTGTATAGGAATAGTAGCCCTCGTGTAAAAGGCTAGGAGAGGATGATCCACGTGGCTGACTTGCAAGCTTACTTTATTTATCTATTTATTTTGCTGATGATTTTATTTTTAGCTTTTTACAAATAGATAAAGGGTTGACCATTTTTATGAGATTTAGAAAAAGAACAAAAAATCATCATTAGAAACTGTTTTTCAATGAGTTAAATTATAAATTCATTCTCTCCATCATGTTAAATATATATATATATATATATATATATATATAATTTTTTTAAATCTTATTTTTATTTTTTAGATTGGACTAAAATTTAAATATGTTTGTGAAAACTTACTAATGAAATGGTTAAAAACAAGCTTAATTTTAAAAAGATAAATTTAAAAATGAAATAGTTGCCAAATGGTCCCTAAGCTTTTAATTTTGATTTGACTACGTGTATATTGTTAAAATTATTATCCTAGTTCTTAATGTGATATTTTAATTATATTAAAAGTAATGATAGAATATGACACGACATAGCAGCGTAGAGTAAATAAGACAATTGGATAAGATAATGACATATCAAAAAACTCAATAAGACATGGTAGAAATCAAAATTTATTTTGAATTGACTTTTTTCACCCTTACCCCTTCTTCTTTTAATAAGTTGTCAAATCTATCACTTGTTAGTTCAATTGGAGTCTCATCAAATAAATATTTATCATAATTCAAATTTAAAATCTACGAACATTATTTAATATGACTAAACAATTTAATTTTAGTAAGCAAGGTATATACTTGGGACTTTATTATTACCTTTTCAATTTAAAAAAAAAAATTATCTTTCAAGTTGGGCAAATGTAAGGGTGTGAAGTTAGAATTATTTTCCGAAATTAGCAAAATAACTGGACTTTTTTAATTTTCCAAATAAACGAAGTAAAAAATTAGAGAGATTTTAATATTTTATTTTATTTTTATATGGTTTGGTAGAGAATTCAAACACAAGGGGCTGTTTGGGAAATTTTTCATATTAATTTGGAAAGGACAGCCAGATTGTGGGTGGGATTGTCGGCCGTCGCCCATATGTTAAAATTAATAATTAAATACATAAAATAGTTTCGTCAGCCGTTTTTTTTTTTCTCTTTTTAGGACATTTTCCAGCTAAGCGCTTTTGTAAATCAACTTGTTCTCTCTCTTTTTACGAATTTTTTTTCCACTTTCCTTCAATTTGCGAATTAGAGAATTGATAAATATTGTAAAGTTTAAAAAATTACCTTGCTTTTTTTTTTTTTTGCTAAAAATAAATGGATAAATCATATTACCTGACATGTGTCACCAACTAGAATCATTAGAGATGATTAGAAGAATTGGATAAGTACATTCAACTCGACAAGTTCTTTTATCTCGACATCCGAAGTCGAGCCGAGTTACATTCTACATGCCGGCCTACCTATATTACGTACAAGATAACAGATGACAGACATGTTCTCCAACATGATAGCTTGATCCTTCGTACTTCGACATGAGTAACCGCGGGCGCAGACGCCAATGGCAGACATGTTCTCCTACATGACAGTTCGATCCTAGGTTGTCAGGAGCTCGATCGCCTCTGTAAATAGAGAGCCCCAGCTTTCATACCAGATACTCGAAATATATTCTCTCTCGAATATAAACTAGATTGTGTAGTGACTAGAGCGTCAAAGTGAAAATAAATCTTTCGTACTCAGTATATACTGTCCGAACTTTGTGGATTCGAGTTGGGTCGATTTCACGATCAAACATGAAACATTTATTTAAGTTTAAGGTCTAATTTATTGTGAGATGGAAAGTTTAAAGGTAAAATTTGATTTTTTTTGTTTTTGGATAAGAAAAGTGGGCTTTAAAATCAACTTTTTGGGGGATTTCTCAATTAATGATGTTTGAAGTATTCTGTTTGGGAGCCGGGAAATTGCCGGGGAAAAAAGGAAAAGTATTTGGAGAACAAAAAAAAAAAAAAAGACAAAATTTATATTTGCGACCGCGACTTTCTTTTATTAAGAATAATTGATCGGACATTTTCATGAGGGTTTTACCGGGTCGGGTTCGGAAGAAATGGGTGAAAATCGGAGCCGGCCATTTTTAGATTTCAATGAAGATTCAAGAATATTCAACTGTTCTCTCTCTAAAAGTTTGCATGGAGTCCACGTAGGGTCAACTAGCAGCCAAGTTGGTGAATTAGGAAAGATTTAGTTAATTAATTTGGACACTTTTCTTTCCTTTTTTCTAGAAAAGTAAATGGTAAGATAATGGCTCTTAATGCTTGGATTATTTATTTCAGATTAAAAAATAATACTTGTTTCTGTAATAATTTAATTCGTGTAATTTACGGTTAGTCTCTCATGAAAATTTTTGTTAAATTTCTTGTATATGTAGGTCAATAAATTATGAGTTGTTTATAAATTATGAGGAATAAATCGTTGTTTATAAAAAACCGACACTTAACTTTGATGAGATTTTTCATAGTACGAATTAAATTGTTGCAAATTTTAAACTATAATGACTAAATTGTTACAGAGTTAATGGATTAATTTGTTACCAATTTAAAAGTATAAAGATTAAATCGTTAAAACTTCAAAAACTAAATTAAGATTAAATCGTTAAAACTTCAAAAACTAAATTATTACTCAACGAAAGTAATGAAATATTTTTTTTAACCTTTATTTTATTCATTTCTTTCCCATGTGGGTAGGATTATTAATATGGTAATTTACTGTTCTCTCAAATTATGCACAAATTACCTATTAATTATAAGTTCAATGGATACCATTAAACTATAGAACTATATCTACACAGTGGTTAAAATTGACTAGAAATTCTTATAAGAGTTACTATAATTAATTGAACAAAAGTAGTTATCGTTTAGTTCGACATATTGGTTGGATATATATGTAAATTACCGTCGAACAATACTTACTTTTGCAGTTTAAATATTAATTTTGATTCATGTACTTTCGACTTCGTTAGTCTATTTGGGTCTTCGTACTTTCAAATTTGGATCATTTTAGTTCATATACGTACTTTTAAAATCTTTGTTTTGGTCCATGTACTTTTAAAATCTTTGTTATTTGTAAATTTAGGTAGACATTTTGTTGTTTTAATTTGGAGAAACTTGTATATGTTTTCAATGACATATATTGTTTAATGAAATTTGTATTATTATCTAAGTAATTTTGCAAGTTGAGCGTTTTAAATTTAGCGACGAATTTTGATGTCGATTAGACTTTTGTGTTGACTTTGCATAATAAGGACCATTAAAACGAAAAAACAAGGAAAACATGCAAATAAGGAAAATTGTAATAGAAAATATGGTCAGATGCGACGAAGGCATTTTCGTCACAGAAGGGCAAATGCGACGCAAAATATTTACGTCGCATATGTGAAGAAAACGAGCTTTCGTCGCCAATATGCGTCGAATGCTGGTTTTAGTCGCTTTACATCTTCAGAGACTCAATTTTAGGCGTGAAAACTGCGACGAAAATTTTTTCGTCGTCGATGCTCTTCAGCGAAGAAAATTTCGTTTCAGCGACGAAAAATTATTGTCGCTGAAACCCCTAATTGTTGTAATGGTTCATTTATTTTTATTTTTATCTTATTTCTTTCCATCTCAATTTTAGCATGATATTTAACTTAAAAAATTTCTTGAAATATCATAACGAAATTTGTATTAAATGGTTTCTATTGTATAAAATTTATATTAAAATTAGACAAATTTAGGAAAAAAAATAGTCAACATTTTACAAGTACATGAACCAAAACATACATTTGGAAAGTATAGAGACTAAAAATAAACCAAAATTGAAAATATGTGAGTAAATATAATGTTTTGAAATTACAGGAATCAAAATAAACTAAAGTAAAAATTATCGGAATAAAATAGTATTTAAAATTATCATTAAATATTTTTTGAATTTCAAATTTTTGTTTCGTTGCAATTTTAAAAAATATAGCTGAATTATCCATGAAAACCTG